CTGGTGCCCAGTGTGCATCATAGCAACCGGCCATTCTGCCATTCAGTCAATTTATTATTATTATTATTATTATTATTATTATTATATAGGATGTAATACCTCTTAAATACACAGTCATACTGAGGAAATGCTTCAGAAGTGGAGTGGAAAGGCCACTACTGGCTGTTGATATGTTAATATTATTTTCTCCTTAAAAGTGTTCTGTTTCTTTATGGTTCTTCCGGTGGCTCATGTTTAGATCTTGAGCTCTTGAGCAATATTTTGCAGAAAGATATAGTATTTGTCCCTTGAGCCTCCTTATTTTTTAAAAATATGGCTTTATTGATTTTTAGAGAGGGAGGAATGGAGGGGGGAGAGAGAGAGAGAGAGAGAGAGAGAGAGAGATCAATTGGCTGCCTCCTGCATGCCCCCTTCTGTAGTAGTGACATGTAGGGTTAAGATGTATTTGTCCCTTGAGCCTCCTTATTTTTTAAAAATATGGTTTTATTGATTTTTAGAGAGGGAGGAATGGAGTGGGGGCGGGGGGAGAGATCAATTGGCTGCCTCCTGTATGCCCACTTCTGTAGTAGTGACATGTAGGGTTAAGATGGCACATTTATTTTATGTACAAAAACTTATCTTTTAAAGAATGAACCTAGCTTTTAAAGGGTCTTATTCAATTTTGAGTGCCATCTCTTGAATTAAAACCAGCAAAATGTCTCTTGCTTATTTACCTTTTTGACTTTGTGATTAACTTCAAAATGTTTAGGTAAGATATTATTTAATGACATAGGAACTTTGTAATATGAACAAAAGGGAAGCTGGGATGACGAGGGGCACTGGGCAAATGGCGTGAGATGGTATTGAGCATTGGAGAATATTGGGAGGAATGTTGGGAAAGGCTCAGGAGTCTGATCGAAGAGTGCGTGTGTCTGAAAACACGACAAAGCCGTCACAAATATGTCAAACCAGCTCTCTGCCTTGTGAAATCCAAATCACAGTTGTGTTTATTTGAGCCAGCGTAAAATCACGTGTTTCTCATCAGGAAAGAAAACAGTGACAAAACAATAAACAACGACAAAAATAGCTGAGAAAGCTGGACAGACTTTCATCTGAAAAACAGATACTTGGGTCATAGTGACGGTGCCTAGGAGCCCACAGCTTGGGTGGGAGGTGATAGGAACGTTGCTGGAGGTGTTAGGGCAATTGGAATAGACGCCCCTCAGTTTGAACCATGAGCCAGACGGGGCCAAGTGCCCGTCATGCTGGTTCCCTGCATCGCGTGGACTCTCCCTCCTCCAGACTGCAGCCCCACGAAGGAGCACCGCTGTGGAGATGGGCGCTGCATTGCCATGGAGTGGGTGTGCGACGGCGACCACGACTGCCTGGATAAGTCTGATGAGGTCAACTGCTGTGAGTGCCCTAGGATTTTGTTTGCTTATTTGTCCATTTCTCGCCTGTGTAGACCAACATACTCCAGTTTCACCATCTAAACAGCCTTCCAAGGGAAAGATCCTTGTACCTTGGTCCTTGCCTAGAAAGATGATAACTGAATGGTGTGAGGACAATGACAATGTAGTTAATGCGCTTGACCTCCACACGTTTCTCCCCAGAACGTCAAGCTTCATGGGCTGGATCTGGCCGAGCAGGTGGCTGTTTTCTTTCTCTCTTTGTTCCCGCGTCCCCTTCCTGCACCCGTGACTTTGTCCAAGGGGCCGCTCTCCCCAGAGGCTGATGACACATGATTGCAAATGACACATGAGTGGTTGAGCCTCCTTGCAGGGGCCTCCAGACATGCTCTCAGGCACGTTCTGTAGGAGAACATGGAGAGAATTGCCAGAGGGAAGAGAGCATTCGATGTTCGTAGACTCACACAGAGAGTGTGAAAACAGTTGGAGCTTTACTGCCTGTCGTATTCTGGGTGAGTGAACAGTCTCCAGGTAGCTGTTACGCTATCTAGACAATAAAATCCAGTATGGCTGCTAATTCCTTTTTTCCTTTAGAAACTGCACTATACTCAGTAGAGACTAAGAAAATGATTGAATAAAAGCAGTTAGGTGTTAAAAGCAAGTAATTTGACTTGAAAGAGTTAATATGATGCATTTAATGCCTGGTTGAATACATTTAACTTTTTATTTCATCTTTTGCTGTCCAATACAAATAGAAAAAATGTTGGTATATAGGATAGTGAATATGTAAGTTGCCTATCATTTGAGGCAACAATAGAAATGCAGGGTGCATGGTTTTTATTTTGACATAAGAAAAGGCATATAAATTATCAAATGCAATGCTGGACTTTCCCCTTCCCTGAATTGAAAATGAGCTGCAATATCTCCGAGTCCTTTCTTAGTGGAACACAGCGGTCCAGAGCAGACTGTACCTTGGCTGATCCCGGGAAAGCAAGGACATGATGCTCATGTACCACGATTCTGGTGCTGAGCCTCGATTCAAGAATAGGGAGTTTTAATCTTCAACAGTAGCTCGGTGAAGGCTGAGGTCATATAAAACATAGTTTCTGATGCTCTAAAACAGTGGTTCTCAACCTTCCTAACGCCGCGACCCTTTAATACAGTTCTTCATGTTGTGGTGACCCCCAATTTCATTGTTACAAATTGAACATAATTAAAGCATAGTGATTAATCACAAAACAATATGTAATTATATATGTGTTTTCCGGTGGTCTTAGGCCACACCTGTGAAAGGGTCGTTCGACCCCCAAAGGGGTTGTGACCCATAGGTTGAGAACCACTGCTCTAAAAGGTAACAGTGATAGAATTTAGACAACATCTAGGAACCGGACGATTAATGGCCACTATACCACCCATTTCAAATGCCAGCTGTGTCAAGCAAGTTTTGAAATAACGTGTTTATTGTATGCGAGGTGTCTGCATGTGCTTTCGTATGTTTCATTTCATTGTCTGGAGTGACAGGCTGGGCTAGGACTCAGAAACCTGCCTGCACATTCCCGCCCTCCCTGTAACAGCCATGTGACTGTGAGACTAAGCTCTCTAAGCTCAGTTTCCTATTCCAAACCAGGTCAATAACATCTCCCTTGCAAGCCTGTTGTGGGAATTTGAGATTAAATACAGAATGCCCCTAACAAAGCTATTGCCACAGAGTAAACTTTTAATAAGTTGTGCCTTTTGTCATAGGAGCATCACTACCACCATCATTAATACTACTTCCCATCGTGAGGTTATCAAATAAAGTAAGTCCGCAGCGAGTGCTATTAATAAGGCACGAGAGATTCTAGAAAGAAACCATTCCATCTCAAAAAAAACTCGGCCTTGTTGTTTTTAAATTAGTGATGCCTTCACTCCTTGATACAGAACACTCACATAGTCACAACACTCCATCTCCTGGCGATGCCAGGAAAACAGGAGCCCTTTCTAAGACCTGCAGACTGAGAGGAGGGCTAGTCAGCCACGTGACTCTTGTTCTGGCTTCCCCCCAGCCTGCGGCAGCCAGGGCCTGGTGGAGTGCCGGAGCGGCCAGTGCATCCCCAGCACTTTCCGATGCGATGGGGACGAGGACTGCAAGGATGGCAGTGATGAGAGGAACTGCAGCTACAGTAAGTGTGTGCCCTGCCCCCCCCCGCCCCCCCGAAGCATGCCTTAACGGTGGGCCTTCCCCTGGGAGCGGAACTGCAGCTACAATAAGTGTGTGCCCTGCCCCCGAAGCATGCCTTAACGGTGGGCCTTCCCCTGGGAGCGGAACTGCAGCTACAATAAGTGTGTGCCCTGCCCCCGAAGCATGCCTTAACGGTGGGCCTTCCCCTGGGAGCGGAACTGCAGCTACAATAAGTGTGTGCCCTGCCCCCGAAGCATGCCTTAACGGTGGGCCTTCCCCTGGGAGCGGAACTGCAGCTACAATAAGTGTGTGCCCTGCCCCCGAAGCATGCCTTAACGGTGGGCCTTCCCCTGGGAGCGGAACTGCAGCTACAATAAGTGTGTGCCCTGCCCCCGAAGCATGCCTTAACGGTGGGCCTTCCCCTGGGAGCGGAACTGCAGCTACAATAAGTGTGTGCCCTGCCCCCGAAGCATGCCTTAACGGTGGGCCTTCCCCTGGGAGCGGAACTGCAGCTACAATAAGTGTGTGCCCTGCCCCCGAAGCATGCCTTAACGGTGGGCCTTCCCCTGGGAGCGGAACTGCAGCTACAATAAGTGTGTGCCCTGCCCCCGAAGCATGCCTTAACGGTGGGCCTTCCCCTGGGAGCGGAACTGCAGCTACAATAAGTGTGTGCCCTGCCCCCGAAGCATGCCTTAACGGTGGGCCTTCCCCTGGGAGCGGAACTGCAGCTACAATAAGTGTGTGCCCTGCCCCCGAAGCATGCCTTAACGGTGGGCCTTCCCCTGGGAGCGGAACTGCAGCTACAATAAGTGTGTGCCCTGCCCCCGAAGCATGCCTTAACGGTGGGCCTTCCCCTGGGAGCGGAACTGCAGCTACAATAAGTGTGTGCCCTGCCCCCGAAGCATGCCTTAACGGTGGGCCTTCCCCTGGGAGCGGAACTGCAGCTACAATAAGTGTGTGCCCTGCCCCCGAAGCATGCCTTAACGGTGGGCCTTCCCCTGGGAGCGGAACTGCAGCTACAATAAGTGTGTGCCCTGCCCCCGAAGCATGCCTTAACGGTGGGCCTTCCCCTGGGAGCGGAACTGCAGCTACAATAAGTGTGTGCCCTGCCCCCGAAGCATGCCTTAACGGTGGGCCTTCCCCTGGGAGCGGAACTGCAGCTACAATAAGTGTGTGCCCTGCCCCCGAAGCATGCCTTAACGGTGGGCCTTCCCCTGGGAGCGGAACTGCAGCTACAATAAGTGTGTGCCCTGCCCCCGAAGCATGCCTTAACGGTGGGCCTTCCCCTGGGAGCGGAACTGCAGCTACAATAAGTGTGTGCCCTGCCCCCGAAGCATGCCTTAACGGTGGGCCTTCCCCTGGGAGCGGAACTGCAGCTACAATAAGTGTGTGCCCTGCCCCCGAAGCATGCCTTAACGGTGGGCCTTCCCCTGGGAGCGGAGCAAAGGGTTGGAAATTATGGATGCATAAATAGGATTCTCACATGAAAAATTCCAGATTGCCTACTGCTGTGGTCCTCACAGCCCCGTCAGCCAGAAAACACCCTGTTGAGGATTTCCTCAAGCAACTCACACTGAAATATCATTCGTAAGGGTGAAGGGTAGAGGTTAAACACTTACACAGCATGGGGCGAGTCAGTTAACTGTTTGATGGGGAAAGGCATCGCTGTGATAAAGAGTTCAGTATATGGTATTCGATTAAATTAGATTCCAATTAGTAGGCACTGGCTTCTGAAATTAAATGTAATAGCTTCATAGATTCACATGCCCAGAGAAGCAGTTTAATGCCTCACATTACCAGGCAATACACTTAAAGTATTACAGATAGTAGTACATATGTCTCCTTCTTTTTTTCCCCCCATTGACCTTCCCCCGGCCTCCCCTACCCCCTGGCACATGCCCTCACCCCCACCCCCCCAGTGTCTTGTGTCCATTGGTTATGCT